CTTTGATGATGGAGGAAGGGTCCGTGAACCAAAGAATGTGGGTGGCCTCTACAATCTAGAAAAGGCAAGAAAGTGATTCTCTTTTAGAGCCGCCACAAAGGAATGCAGCCTTACTGACAGCTTGATATTAGCTCAGTAAACCTGTATCAGACTTCTGACCTACAGGACTGTAAGATAAAAAGTTTGTGTTATTTTAAGCTACCAAATTTATAATAATTTTTAAGCAGGCATAGGAAACTAGTGTGTCCTTCATCAATTCTGTTAAATTTTCATCCTTTATCTCTTTAGATATTGACTGTCTCCTCTTCTCTGTGATCTCCTGATAGAATCCCTGCAGCACCTGTTTTAAATTTTATCATTCTTGTCTTTAATCTCTCTGTTATATTTTCCATCTCTGTTTTTCTGTGCTACATTTTGGTCAGTTACTTCAGGTCTTTTGGTTAATTTATGCTCCCTTTAGAGCCACCTAATCTGCTGCTGATCTCAGAAGATGTCCATGACTTTGTTTTTCATTTCCAGAATTTTCTTTCTCTCCTCAAATCTATTTTTCCCCATGCTCTCCTGTTCTTTCCTTATTGTTCATGTCTCTTTTCCTCTCTGTGATTATTTCACACATCCTTATTTTGCAGTCCCTTTTGGATTCTTCTATTACTTGAAGTCATGTTATATAATCTTCTCATTTGCTGAGTATTCCAACTGGTATTTCCTCAAGTGTTTTGTAATTTTTTAATGTGAGCTCATCTTCATCTAGGATTTTTTTCTTGTATAATTTCTGTGCAGTCTGGGTTGCAGTTTCTCTCCAGAGTATTTTTACATTTATTTCCATCAGATGCCTCAGGGGTATTACTAGCCTGTGTCCAATTTCTGTGTTAATTTTTTTATCTTGTGGCTCTTCCCCATGCGGGTGTGGTAACTCAGAACTTCAAATCCACATACAGGGCAGGCTTGGAGTTGTAGCTTATCATGGGAGAGTTTTCTTACAGCAAAAATAAATTATTTTTTGGAGTGGGTTGTCCTAACTGTGGTGTGGCAAACAGGTAGCAGAAGGACTAGAGGGGCTGAGCTTGTTCATGGTAAAGCCGGATTCCATCACAGGCTTCCTGTCTCCAGAGCCTGCACCCTTTCGGCCTGGCCACACTGCCATGAGTCCTTGTGGAAAACAGGCACCCAAGAGACAATGTCTAGTCAAGATGCGCAGTGTCCACTGCACAGTTGTAACTGTAAGGATTTGGGGAGCGTGCAGGGCTGTGGGTGGTTGGTTCAGCCAGTACACAGACTTTGAGAGTCTAGATGATGCTTGGACCTCAGAACACAGCATGTGTGTGGCAGGAGCTCAGCTTCAGACCTGGCTCCATCCTAAAGTCCACAGTCTGGGAGGGGAGAAGGGTCTGCTTTCCCTTGAGCACCACAGAGTTCATTTCCTGCTGCTCCCGTAGCCAGACTGCTATCACGTGGAGGTCTTCAGAAGAAAAGCCCTGAGCTTTGGGAGGCCGCCTAGCCTGCGGTGAAGGATATGGGCCCCAAAGCCTGACTTCCCGAGTCCTAGTCTAGCTCCACCCCACACTTGCAAACTTCGCAAAGTCACTGTGCTTTGATTCTGTCATTCATAAAATGGGGCTTGAACAAGTGACGCCCTCATAAGGCTAAGTGAGTTCACATCATAAAGCAGCACTTCTCAAACAATATAATATGTATGAATTCCCTGCAGGGCCCATGAAAATGCAGAGACCTATTCTGTTGATCTGGGCTGGGGCCCAAGACTCTGCCCGTCTAGCCAGCTCCTGATAATGTGAAGCTGCTGGTCTGAGGACCACACTTTGAGTAGTGAGGATTGAAATTTCTTGGGGCAGAGCCTGACCTGTTCCGTAGGGTCAGTATATAAAAGGGTACTTCTGGGCTGGGCGCGGTGGCTCACGCCTGTAATCCCAGCACTTTGGGAGGCTGAGGCGGGCGGATCATGAGGTCAAGAGATCGAGACCATGTTGAAACCCCGTCTCTACTTAAAAATACAAAAATTAGCTGGGCGTGGTGGCACGTGCCTATAGTCCTAGCTACTCGGGAGGCTGAGGCAGGAGAATCCCTTGAACCCAGGAGGAGGAGGTTGCAGTGAACTGAGATCGCACCACTGCACTCCAGCCTGGCGCCTGGCAAAACAGCAAGACTCTGTCTCAAAAAAAAATAAAAGTAAAAAATCAAAGGGGACCCCTTGCAGGGTATGTGCCATGCCCTGCACTAAGCAGTCGGTTTGCATCTTGTTTGTTGGTTAGTTTAATCTGAGGTAGCTCTGAATTTTACAGATAGAGAGACCAGGAGAGGCTAATGATTTCACCCCAGATCACCCAAGACACTGTGGGGTAGAAGTGGAGCTTGTGCCCAACTCTAGCCCCACAGTCCCATGGCGACCTTCTAGAACCACCTGTAGGTCTGGGCTGGGGCCCTAGACGCTGCATTTCTGGCCACCTCCTGAGTGATGCGAGGCTTCTGTTCTGAGGACCACACTTTGAGCAGCAAAGTTTGAAAGTGCCTGGGGCGGACAGAGCCTGTACCGTCTCAGCAGGAAACTTTGAGCCGGCCAGTCTGTTAGCGCAGGCTCTACCACTTACTGACATGTTGCCTTATGAAAGTCACTTTCTCCCCGAGACTGAGTTTCCCTTTCTGTAAAATGGAGGTAGTAATAATGCCCGCCTCACAAGGGGTTGAGGGTGCGAGTACTCAGGGGCAAGTGCTCTGTGACTTTCAGGTTCATCCAAAGATCGTCCTTCGTATGATGAGGAGCTAAACAGCCCAGCTGCATGCCTTTGAAGAATGTAAACACAGCCGTCATGGGGTGCAAGCTTTTTGGTGGCAAATTCTCCAGTCTTCTAAATGATTTTCTTAGGTGCCTTTTGAGTTGACCTTGTAAAAGCTTCTAGGTGTCTGAGCAAGCAGCCTGCCTCATTTTCTTCTGAAGTTGTGGAAAAGGGCTACAAGGGAGTTTCTAGGTGATTAAACAAGCAGATACGGAGTGTCCACCATACCCCAGGCACTGTGCTAGACTCTGAGGACACGGTGGGGAGTAAGAAAGATGCCATTCCTGTCTTTATTAAAATCACAGTTGAGCAAGTGTGGACAAATAAAAGGCAGGAAACAAGTGGTGGGTAAGACAGGTAAATGTATGAAACATGAAGAAAAGTAGTGGGGGTGCTGGGCAAGGGGGGGTGGAGAGAGGATAATGGAGTGGGTCATAGAAGGACTTTCAGAATCAAGGAGCCTGGGCAGCATCACAAGGAGCAGGGAGATTGGCGCAAGCAAAGATAATTAGGTGAATATGGGCTTGGCACAGGCAAGACGTTCAAAGAAGGCTGCAGGGTCGTAACTGGGAGCTCTGGGCTCTCCTAGCTACCCCATCCCTACCTGTTCCTCCCTGGCCTGGCTGCTTGCTCTGGAGCTGACGGCTCTCCTTCTCCATGAATGGGAGGCCATGGCCAGACAGCGGGAGTTTGCAGTGTCAAAGCACATAGATTAGGCATTGTGTGCGCCGGGCAAAGGCTCACATCCACCTGTAGCACTTACCAGTCGTATGGCCTTGGACTAGTGTCATAACCTCTCAAGGCATCTGTTCCCTGGTCTCCAGAGGGAAGTAAGAACAGTGCCTGCCCACTCACTGGTGCTGGGGAGGCTGGAACCCACCTAGCAGGGTACCTGGCCTGCAGAATGTGTTCACTGCTAAGGTAGCACTTGGTGGTCACTTACCGAGGGCACCTGTGTCTGTCTCCTGCCCTGCACCTGCTCCAGACAAGATCATAGAGTCCTAAAAATCCCAGGGCATACATAGGAGATACACGCAGGAGATGAGGGGAACTTGCCCCATGATGGCAGGGTAGCCAACACAGTTCTTCCATGTCAAATGGCACCTTTAGTGGCATGAAGAGGAGGAACAAAATGCCTTTTATCCAGAATTCATCATACTTCCCAGAAATGTGAACCTGCAGGTGGCCAGAGCATAACCTTTCCTTTCCTTTCTTTTCTTTTCCTTTTTTTTTTTTATTTTTTTATTTTTTGAGGTAGAGTCTCGCTCTGTTGCCCAGGCTGGAGTACAGTGGCATGATCTTGACTCCCTGCAACCTCTGCCTCCTGGGTTCAAGTAATTCTCTACCTCAGCCTCCTGAGTAGCTGGGATTACAGGTGCCCACCACCACGCCTGGCTAATTTTTGTATTTTTAGGAGAGATGGAGTTTTACCATCTTGGCCAGGCTGGTCTTGAAGTCCTGACCTCATGATCTACCTGCCTCAGCCTCCCAAAGTACTGGGATTACAGGTGTGAGCCACCCTGCCTGGCCATAACCTTTCCTTTCATTTATTCTTCACTGTAGGCCTTGAGAGTGGGTACACCCTCTAGATGAGGACATTGAGGATAAATAATCAGCATGGCTCAGGTCCCATAGCTAGTGAGCTGCAGAGCCAGAATTTGGACCAGGAGCCTGGAACTGCAGTGGGACATTAAACCCAGGTCTGTATCTGATTCCAGAGCCCACATGCATGTGCTACCTGCAAGCCATGTGGGATATTAGCTGAATGAAAGATGAGCAAGAGTGTATAATAACTAAATTGAGTCATCTAGAGATGACTTACACCCCTCACTTGGGCCGTGCACAGACTTATTCCACACCTTCTAAAGTGCTAAATACACAAATGCCAGAACAAGATTTGCAGAGATTTACCAGGGATTGAGTGACTCCAGGCCAGGCTTCCAGAGCTGCAGGCATTGACCACACTGCCTCCTTGTTAGCACTCTTCTGCCTGCTCTGGGGCTGGTGCTGGAGGGCTTTGGTTATGATAAGTGCTTTTCTCCTTCCTCTGGATTCATGCTTGTATTCAGGGGAGGCTCCCTGCACAGGCAAGAAGCAGATTTGCTGGCCTCTACCCTCAGGGGGTCAGCCCTCTGGCTGTCTTGTGGTCTGAAAGCCCCAGGCTTACAGGATAGACACTTAACATCCCTGCAAATTCATCTCTGCCTGCAGATCATGAAAGAAGTCCGGCGGGCGCTCTGCAACGCAGCCACGGACGACAGCAAACTGCTGCTCCTCAGCGCAGTGGGGAGCGTGTTCTGCAGCGGCCTGGATTATTCCTACCTAATTGGCCGGTTGTCCAGTGACCGGCGGAAGGAGAGCACTCGGATTGCAGAAGCCATCAGGTGAGCTCTGCTCCTTCCTGTTCCCACACCTTGGGGTCCTGCGTAGGATGACCAAGTAAAAATACAGGCTGCTCAGTTACATTTGAATTTCAAACAACCAGGAATTTTATTTTTAGCATAAGTACATCCTGTGCGATACCTGAGACCTGCTTGCATTGTAAAAATGTTGGTTATTTATCTGAAATTCAGATTTCAATTGGGCATCCTGTATTTTTATCTGTAACCTTAGTTCTGCCAAAATTAGGGATGCTTCTTTGCTCCTCTGGGTTAGATCCCACTTTCATTCTTTTGATCAAAAAGATTGTATTTGCTCTCAAGGCCTGAGTCTGGTAGTAGCCATGTGTTACGCACACTGTTTCCACCCGCTGCCTGATGGGGAGGTTGTCTGGTGGTTTCTGTGTCCCAGCACTGCCGCGGCTTAGCTGTGGGCAAGTTGACGGAGGGGCTCCCTCGGCAGCTGTGTGTTTGTAGACTCAGTAAGGTACAAAGTATTTCCCCCTTTCTTAATACCCCTAAGCAAAAGTTGGGATCCTGGGGATGACATCCAGTCCCAACAATGAATACCCTTTTGGGACACTAAAGGGGAGTTATTTCCCCATTCTTTATCAGTATATCAAAAGCAAGTGAGTGTGATTTCTAGACACTACAGCTGTTTAGCTGGTTTATAGCTGTTACCCAATGGTCACCTGGATGAGGCCGCTGTATCTTGCTTAAGAATCAGACAAGTCATGGCCGGGCGCAGTGGCTCAAACCTGTAATCCCAGCACTTTGGGAGGCCGAGGCAGGTGGATCACGAGGTCGAGAGATCGAGACCATCCTGGTCAACATGGTGAAACCCCGTCTCTACTAAAAATACAAAAAATTAGCTGGGCATGGTGGCACGTGCCTGTAATCCCAGCTACTCAGGAGGCTGAGGCAGGAGAATTGCCTGAACCCAGGAGGCGGAGGTTGCGGTGAGCCGAGATCACGCCATTGCACTCCAGCCTGGGTAACAAGAGCGAAACTCTGCCTCAAAAAAAAAAAAAAAAAAAAAAAGAATCAGACAAGTCACAATTCAGGAATTTCCCTGGTCACATGAGAAAGAACATTTATTCCACATGGTGTCACAGCGCCTCAGGCCACAAGTCAGGCCTCCAATCTCCATGACTCTGTCGAAGTGCCACACAGAGGGAGGCCGATTCCCATGAGGCTACAGGGGGCTGTGAGGGCTTGCATTGTCTCCAAGAGGTAACGCTGGGGTGCTCTTTTGTGTGGAATTCTGAGTCCCTCTTCAGGGTGAAGAATCCACTGGGGCTCCTGCTCCAAAACACCTGTATGTTTCCTGTTGCAGAATTCTTGCCAGAAGAGACACGATGAGACTGAGCACTGTAGGTGGAAAGGCGTTGTGGTTATTGGATGCTTAGGTGTCCTGGCTGTGCTCACATGGTTTGCGCTTTGCCTGGTCCCAGCTATGCCCTCTTGCTACTGCCTTTCCATGTGTCAAAGGGACCACAGGATTTCCAGCGTGCTTCTCTTCTCATGCATGAGGCCACCCAAGCCCACCCAGAGAACCGAGTGACCATTTTTGTGACCCATGGAGCCTCCATCATGGTCTTTATCTGCTTTATAGATTTCAGTGGAGGCATTAGCGGGATTTCCCAGGGAAACCTGCCTGACACAGCCCTTCATTTCCACTGCATGCACACACAGCTCAGTAGCATGCAAAGCCCTTGCAGTGAGTTGAAGTGTGGTCCCTAAAAGATACGTCCATGTTCCAATTCCGGGAACCTGTGAGGGTGACCTTGTTTGAGAAAAGGCTCTTTGCAGATCTAAGTTCAGAGTCCTGGGGTGAGATCATCCCGGATCGGAATGGGCTCCAGATGCAGACAGAACTGACTTCATAAGAGGGGACACAGACAGAGGAGATGGTGATGCGACAGACAAGGGATAGCTTAGAGTCTTGCAGCCTCAAGCCAAGGAGCCCCAAGGACGGCCAGCAGCTGCCGGAAACTGAGAGCGAGGCCTGGCACAGCTTCTCCCTCAGAACCACTGGGAGGAACCAACCCAGTCAACACCCTGATTTTGGACTTGTGGTCTCCAGAACTAGGATAGAATATATTTTGATTGTTTAAGCCCCGTAGTTTGCAGCGACTGTTCCCGGGGAAACTGATACAGACTGGAAGGAATCATTAGCAGCTCCAAGAGCCCCAGCTTTTCAGACTGTCCTCTTAGGCAAGGGCCCATCCTGACCTCTGCCCATCATCTTCAATGGCCGCTCCTTCTGGTGGGCAGCTGTTCACCTCTGCTGGGGGGATCTATTAACAGATGATCGCTGACGGCTGCAGGCAAGGTGCGACACCCACGTCAGTCCTGGAATGACACGGATGAGTCTTGTCACAGTGTGGGGTGGGGTAGGGGTCATTCCTGCATGTAGGAATAAGGATCGCAGCTGGGTCACCATGGGGATGTAAGTTGAAGAGAAACAGGGTACCCAGGGGTCAGGACTCAGAATGGATTTTCCCAGAGCCCCCGCTGAATGATTCCTTCCCTTGGCTTTGCATGCCCAGTCTCTCTGGTGAGGGCAGCATCTCCCTGGCCTGTCCCTGCCTTTTTGGCTTAGATGTATCAAAGCTGAGGGGCCAAACCTTTTCTCCAGTCCCCATAGCCTCTACCTTTTGGGGTCTGCAGGGTGATGTCTATGCACCTCTGGACTCTTGAGAACCAAATTCATGGAGAAAGAGGTTTCAGAGGCAGGCAGGGTTGAAAGCTTCATCTCTAGGAAGCTGTAGGAGAATGTGGCTGGGGCCTGCGGCCCAGACTGGTTTCTGACTTTCCCAGCTGAGTAGTCCAGGGGGCCCCGAAGCAGAGATCCCAAATAATATGAGAGACTGAATGCTTTAGCCTACCTCTGGGAAAACATGGCCAGTGGAATTCAGACATTTGCCATCTCAGCAGGCAAGTGAGCTCCCCTTAGGCAGAGCGCAGGGCTAGATGGTGGACGCAGAAAGAATTATTCTCAATGCTTCAAAGGGAGCAGAAGTTGCCAGTTCCTGAGCTAGCAGGGATGGGGGAGTGGGAAAGGAGATGTCCCCTGCACCATTGGTGCCCAGCCCCGACAGCACAGGGAGTCCCGAGGGGGCATTTCCAAGACCCAGATGCTCGGCACCACCGTCAGGGGACTCCGAGTTATTTAGGCTGGGGTGGAGCCAGCGCGTCTTTGGATGTGACTCTTCCTTGGTGGTTCTCAGGTGCAGCTGGGGTTGAGAACACCCGCCTTGTGCTAACGAGATTTCTGTGCCACTGATGGAGAGCACTGAGAGAAACACAAGATTCTTATTTGTATGCAAGAGAGAAAAGGTGGTTATTAAGGAGATGAGGGTGAAGAAGGAGGTGATACAGGCATGGGAAGGGTGAGAACCACAGGTGAAGATGGATGGAGGTGCAGAAGATACGGCCATGTAGAGACAAATGCCCCTGGAGTTAGAAAGAAGACTGTGGCTATGGGACTATGTGAAAAGACCTAATCTACGCTTGATAGGTGTACCTGAATGTGACGAAGAGAATGAATCCAAGCTGGAAAATACGCTTCAGGACATTATTCAGGAAAATTTTCCCAGCCTAGTAAGGCAGGATAATATTCAACTCCAGGTAATACAGAGAACACCACAGAGATATTCCTCAAGAAGAGCAACTCCAAGGCACATAATCGTCAGATTCACCAGGGTTGAAATGAAGGAGAAAATACTAAGGGCAGCCAGAGAGAAAGGTCAGGTTACCCACAAAGGGAAGCCTATCAGACTTACAGCAGATCTCTCAGCAGAAACCCTACAAGCCAGAAGAGAGTGGGGGCCAATATTCAACATCCTTAAAGAAAAGAACTTTCAACCCAGAATTTCACATCCAGCCAAACTAAGCTTCACAAGTGAAGGAAAAATAAAGTTTTTTGTGAATAAGCAAGCACTCAGAGATTTCATCACCACCAGGCCTGCTTTACAAGAGCTTCTGAAAGAACCACTACACATATGAAAGGAACAAACAGTATCAGCCTTTCTAAAAAAAATTATCAAAAAGAGCATCAATATAATGAAGAATTTACATCAACTAATGGACAAAATAGCCAGCTAATGGCAGTATTAAACTCACATATATTATTATTAATTCTAAATTTAAATTGACTAAATCCCCCAATCCAAAGACAGGCAATTTGAATAAAAAACTAAAACCCATCAGTATGCTGCATCCAGATCCATCTCACATTCAAGGATACACAAAGACTCCAAACAAGGGATGGAGAAAGATTTACCAACCAAACAGAGAGCTAAAATAAATAAATAAAAACCAGAAGTTACAATTAAGCAACAAAGATCAAAAGAAGCAAAGAAGGACATTATATAATGATAAAAGGATCAATGCAACAACAAGAAGAGCTAAAGATCCTAAATATATACGCACCCAATACAGGAATACGCAGACATACAAGACTTATAAAGAGACTTAGACTCCCACATAATAATAGTGGGAGACTTCAACATTAATATTAGACAGATCAATGAGACAGAAAATTAACAACGATATTCAGGACTTGAACTCAGATCTGGAACAAGTAAATGTAATTAACATTTATAGAACTCTCCACTTTAAATATACAAAGTATACATTCTTATCAGTACCACATCATATCAACTTAGAAGTTTAAAAGAAATCTTGGTTGGCTCCTTGTTTGCTATTCTCTTCCCTCATTTTCTTTCATGTCTCCATTATTAAAGACAATTACAGGCATACCCATATTTAGACTGCATTCTAGCCCGGGCAATAAAGCAATACCCCCATCCTCTCTCCCTCTTCCTCTTTCTCTTTCTTCCTCTTCTTTATTCTAAAAAAAAAAAAAAAAAAAAAAAAGAAAGAAGACTGTGGCTCACCCGTCCAAACTCTTCTGAGGCATTTCCAGCTCTCCCAGCTTTGCAGTGTTCCTTTTGAGGCCATGCTTGAGTTGGGGACGCAAGGTGTTGGCGAAGCCTTCTGTGGAGGACATTAAGTGGATTTCCAGAGGGGCGTCCTGAGGGAGGAGCCCTGTCACTGAAAGGAGTTTGATTCCTGCTTACACGTTCTGTGCCCGCTCCTGTGGATTTTCTAGGTGTATTAGCATACTTAAAAGAAGTCTCTTATGAAAGAACTTCCTTCAAAATCTACCAGCGCAGAAACCCCCATCTCTTGTCTTGGGACACACTTTTGATAGGGCTGACCAGGCGTGCTGCGTGGCCTTGGTACCCCAGGAGTGGTACTCTCACCCCCTCCTCATCCTTGCCTAAAGAAAACTTGTACACACGTGACCAGGACTGGTGACTGGGACCCATCACTCTGCAAATGTTTGATGAATGAACAAGCAGATTTGGGGAGCGCTCAGGTGATGTGTTCAGAAGCCTCCATCCAGGATCCATCCCGAAGAGAGGCTGCCTCCTCTGAACTCGTCGTAGGTGACAGGGTGGCTTGTTCAAGCGTGGAATTCAGGAAAGCAGTGTGGGCTAGCAGCTGCTCACGTGGCACCTGGAAGCAGGCTGCCTGGGCCCACACCTGCCTCTACACCTGCTGGTGGTCCAACCTTGGGAATGTCACTGATCTCTCTGAGCCTATTCGCTCATCCAGAAAATGAAAACAATCAAAGTGATGGTACTGGCCTCCCTGGTGGGTTTGTAGGTTGAAGAATAAAAAGATACTCCATGTGAAACACTTCGGCTATTCCTGGCACATAATACATGCTTGGACTTACTATTACAGTTGTTGTCACTACAGCTGGTGCTTCCAGCCATGATTTCTAGCTAAGCTGATTCTAAGACAAGGGAGTGGACGCCTGGACCAAGGGGTGGGTTCGAGACTGAGGAGTGGCCTGCTGGGGACCTCTCTGGGGGCCCCAGGATGACAGTCACTGGTCGGTCCTTTGCGGGCTGACTTGGATCTGACCTTTGGCTTGGGGAGGGTTTTCCTCCATGGCTCTGGTCAAAGGGAGTGGATAACTGGGTCTCAAGACAAATGCTGGTTGCTCTGGGGGAAATTGAAACATTCCTGTGAGCAGAATTTGGCTTCTGGGTCTCCTGTAGCCTAGGAGAATGGATCATAGACCAGTCTGAGAATCAACTGAAGGCAGTGTCCACCCTCCGCAGCAGGTGCACTACCCATAGTAATAGCAGCAGGGATTGAGTGCTCCCTGCACATCAGCCTTGGGCTAGTGCTTTGCATGGACCTCACCTTTCATTCTTATTCCACTCCTTATGTGGCACAGGTCACTGATTTTCCCATTTTACAAAGGGAGAAAATGAGGCTCCAGAGACCAGGCAACTTGTCCAAGGTCTCACCATGAGTTAGAAGCAGAACTGAGTCTTCTCTCCAGGTTTTTCAGATTCTGAAGTTCTGGCTCCTTCTGCCACATCCATGCAGCTCAGCAGCTTTGTCAGGCAGAAGCCACAGGGCTCGGGTAGAGCAGAGGAAGCTGCGTGGGCCAGGTCAGCCTGATGGCCGTGGATGTGGGGGAAGGTGGCGTACAGTCTTCCCCACGCAGTTGCACCAGGATCAGATATCTGAGCTGCAGGGCCTGTAATGCAATATCCTGTTTGCTGTTGGTTCCCTGTGATAGAGATCTACAGCCCGAGGTGAGAGAAAGAGGATGGGGGTGGCCTTCATTAAATGTCAGGTGACATTTGCACATCAAGGAAATGAAGTGCGAGGCAGGTTGGATGAAGCAGGAGGGGCTGGGGTGGAGTGTCAGAGCTCTGTATGCCTGGTCCCCTTTCCCTTGTGTCCCTGATTTCCCTGCACGGATCTCAGGCTGGAAACCACAGAGCGAAAGGCTCTGGGGTCCTGCAGGGGAAGACTCTGGAAAGTCATGAGGACTGCAATCTATTCCTGAAGGATGTCATGTGGTGGATGGAGCCGAGGTGGTGACAGTATCAGAGAAGCTTACAGGAAACCCATGAGAGGGAGGCTGTCTTGACAGGCATTGAGCCCCTTTTATTGAAAACATCCAACAAAGGCAGAATGATGCATCCTTGGACTGTTAACGGAGGGAATTCTGCAGCAAGTGGAAGATATGGCTCCATGAGTCCTAAAATCCTTCCCACCTCTGAGATCTAAGATTCCGGCATTGTATAAGGTCCCTCAGGAATGGGATATTTGACAAAAATCACCCAAACCCCCTGGGATTGTGCAAAGAAGTTCATATTCCCTGCAGACTGCAAACTGCTTTCAGTGAAAAGCACTTGCAAAAACCGGTGACCTAAACTAATACCTAACTGTTGGGTTAGGAAGTGAATGATGCCAGGAGATGGGCCGCTGGAATACCAAGCATCCCTAGTCATGGAGTCAGGACTCCCTCTCTGAAGCAGTGCCTTTCGGGGGCCAGGAGGGACTGAGAGGTAACACCACCATCTCAAGCAGTGTGATGCCTCAAGCCTGAGTCAGAGGTGCATCCTTTCATGATGACTTACATAGATCGTAACATGCCTCCTACCCCAGCAGAACATTAAGCAGGCTTCTCACAGTTGAATCCGATGCCAGTACATCACTGTGCTAACCACAACTTTTGTGGAACAGTATTGATTGAGAAGGGGTAAATCAGCCTGACATTTGTATTAGTTAAATACTAGCTGTTGTAACAAATAAACCTCATAGATAGAAGTGTACTTCTCACACACATAAACCTAAAAGAGGTGTTACTGTCAGCCTACAGCTGTTTTCCCAGTGGTGACTCAGGAATCTGACTTCTTCCATCTTGTGGCTCAGCAAATGTCTTCCAAGACCGCCATGCTCATCAAGATGAATGGGCTTGGGGGATGGCATGGTGGGAGGTCTGACGGCCACCTGCAAGTGGTACCTGTGGGTTTTTGCTCACATTCTGTTTGGCCAGCACTTGCGGACTTGGCCACATCCACATGCATTCGGGGATGGGAAATGTGGTCGGCCAGTAAACCCAGGAAGAATAGGGATAATAGTTTTGGCAAAGAGCTGGTTCATCATTGCTTCACCTCTGCATTCTTTGCTCTTGTTCTGGCAGACTCATGCATTTGTTCAACAGCTATTTACTGAGTGCTAATTCCAATATTGATGGAAGCCAGGCAGTGCCCCGGGCAGACCTCTGGGTGTCCTCAAGGAGCTAAAGGGAAAAAAGCATCTAAAAACAAGCAAATAATTAATTAAGGTGATTGCAAATTGTGATGTTGGTGTATTCTGAGAACTCTCAGAGGCCTGTGTGGCTCGTGCACCAAGAGCAGGGGCAAGAGTGATGTGAGGGAAGCCTGGAGAGGTAAACTGAGGCAGGCAAAGGTCAGACCAAGCTTAATGGGCATTTCAATTTTAGTCTTGTGAGTTCTTATAGTTTCTAATCTCTCTGAGAGTAATGAAGGATGCAGACTTTACTAGACATCTTGGATCTTTCCTCCATGTCCAGATGAATTTTAAAATTTTATGGATCTTACATAGCCACTAGGAAAAGGCAAAAAGCCCTCTGAGGCAAAGGAAACAGAGGTCATTGCTGATAGCTCTGCTTAATTAGTAAAGATAGCTTGCTCAGTACAGAAGGGCGGGGTGAGAAAATACTTCCCAGTCTTCTAGCCATGATTCCAGCTCCTGCCTACAGGTAGTCCAGTTTTAGTCAGAGCCATGCTAACACGTCGACTGCCATCAACATTTAGAACCACCCTTGATGAGTCTGGCATCCCTGCAGGTAATTCAGAATCAGACCATCCTAGATCTGATTTTTGAAAGAAATTTTAAATGTCATCAACCCCAAAAGGTACCCACCATCGAAGCATGAAGTCCCTCCACGGCACCACCCAACATAATCATCCAGCTGAAATGCAAATACCTCCAGGAGTGAGGAATTCACACCCAGCAAAGCCACTCCATTCACCTTTGGCTGGGGATGTTTAGAACATTCTTTCTCTCTTTGAGTTGAAATATGCCTCCCTGTTACACCTGCCATTTGGTTCTGATTCTGCACCTTAACATTCAGGTTAACTTCCTCAGGATATATACAAATTCTGTCAATAACCAGGGTGTCCATATAACTTAATGTCTAAGCCATGGCTTTTGAGAGTGGAAGCAGATGGTAACTGGGTGCAGTTCTGAGACACAGGGCATGAACCGGGGCAATCTGAGCAAACCAGGACATGCAGCGACCCCGGTGGTATACCTCTGAAAACCTGACAGCTGGTGGTTCTGTGTTGAGGCAGCGAGACCCTTGCCTGGCACCTCTCACCTCTGACGACCTGAGGTTGCATCACAGCATCAGAGATTCCAGTGGGGCTTGGCAAGCTGTGGTCACCTGTTCAAGAGGGTCTTCTCTTTCTGCCAGGGACTTTGTGAAGGCCTTTATCCAGTTCAAGAAGCCTATCGTGGTGGCCATCAACGGGCCAGCCCTGGGCCTGGGCGCCTCCATCCTGCCCCTCTGTGACATCGTGTGGGCCAGTGAGAAGGCCTGGTTCCAGACGCCCTACGCCACCATCCGCCTCACGCCTGCCGGCTGCTCCTCCTACACCTTCCCCCAGATCCTGGGCGTCGCACTGGTAAGCCTCCTGTGATTCCTGGATTCGGGCCCAGGCAGGATCCTGCCTCTGCCTTGAGTTTAGGGTATGGCTCTTCATGGGGCTTGAAATCTGAGGGTGTCATCAGCCTGAGGATCAGCCGGGCTGCCTCAGATCCTCCACGCCATCGGTGCCGGATGGAGTAGCCTGGCTTGAGAAGATGGCGATGAGGTCAGTGTATGGATGTGCACTCTGCATGCTGTCTCAACTATTCCTCACTCCAGCCTCCTGCAGGCATGGCTTAGGGTCAGCTGGGTGCCGTAACAAGGTCTCAGTGGCTTGAACAACAAAGCTTTCCTTCTTACCCTTGCATGGCCCAGCATAGGTATAGGAGCCACCCACACTGTCTGGGGACCCAGGTGCCCCCATACAGTAGATATGCCCTCACTTCTGGCCAGTGGGTGAGAAGGGGGAGCCAGAAGCATCATGCAGGAGGGCTTCGCGGGCCAGGCCTGCAGGGGCATCTTCACCTCCACTCATGTGCCATTGGCCGTGATTCAGCCTCTGGCCACATGCGACTGTAAGGGAGGCCGGAAGACGTAGCCCAGCGCATGTCCAGCAAAAAGAGGGAAAGGAATCAGTGAACACAAAGCAGTCTCCACCCCATGTGGAAACGGATGAATTTCCATCTTACAGATGGAACGTTAAGCTCAGAGAAGTTAGCCGGGTCACCAGGTGCGCAGACAGAGTTCCTGTGCAATGGAGGCAGCAGAGCCCACTGTGAGCTGTGGTCAGATTCTACACCAACATCCGGAAGCGAGTCAGGACAGGGGAGAGCAGTGATGACAGCTAGCATGTAGGAAGCACTTGCTGTGTGCTGGGCTGGGCTGTTAATGCAGTCCACAGCCCTGTGAGGCAGGACAGCTGCGATCCCCATTTTGTGGATGTGGAGACTGAGACTAGAGAGGCTTAGTGAGTTGTCTAAAGGCATGCAGTGGTAATCCCAGTTGTGGGATTTCAGCACCAACAGGCTGGTTCCACTGTCTGTGCTCTGAATGCAGCCCGTTATTAAATAGGTCCCACAGCTGAGGGTGAGTCTGAGACGAGCTGTCAGGACAAGGGAGGGGTTCAGAACGTGTAGCTGGTCTGTGTAGGTGTTGGAGGCACCATGCTGCTGAGTCTGGGCTTCCTTTGATGGCTCTTTCCATGTGGACTCTTCGGAATTCTCTGCTGTTCAGAGTAACCACGAACTCTGAACTCAGTTCTGATGGGCTAATCCTTGTTTCATAAGCATGGGTCCAAGCTGAATCTCAGAAGGTTCTCAGGGAGGCCCCTCCTTCTGGCCCCATCTAGCCAGTCATCTTCCTTTTTCCCTCCCTTTCTTCAAATGCTGCAAATCTACCAAGTGCCGGGCTCTCTGTACCCACCAGGAGTCCAGGGGTGAACAAAAACCCCTGATCCTCAGATCTGTTCCCCAGCTCAGTGTCTTGAAAGGAGGTTCCACCTTGTTCAGAGAAGGACCCCTTTGAGGAGGTGACATTTGAATGGATGCAATAATTCCAGGCAGAGGATGCATGAAGGTGGGGACGGAATGGGGAGTGGGCCTGCCAGGCCCTGGGTTGAGGGTGGTCAGGTCAGTGGGGCCTGGTGAGGACGGTGGGGAGAGGGTGGGGGACAAGGCCATGGCAATGTATATGGCTGGTCCCTGTGAGCCTGGCATGCCAGGGAGGGTGCTGGGCTTTCTGTGTTATGTCCACCTCAGAAGGCTCTGCCAGGGGTCCACTGGGGCATCTGCCAGCAGACACCTCAGGTCGCAGGAGACCTCACAAAAGTGTCAGAGCAGCACGTCCTAGGTGGCGGAGTCAAACCCTGGAACCCCAGAGGAAAGGCCGAGTGCTGCCTCCCGGGCCCTGCAGAGTTGCTTCTTCCAGCCAGCGGTGGCCCCATGGCTATTGTGAATTGTTCCTTTTTAGGGAGAGACTCCAGGATTTCTTTCGATGTCTTGATTTTATCGGAGGGTGAACACCCCGCCTTTGGCATCACTCTCATGTTCTTGAGGCAGTGCTACACATTCTCAGGACTGTGACCTTTGCATCTGGGCACGCACCTGTGGAAGGGCAGGGCTTTTTACACTAGATTTCTTCCCTGTCTTCCTTTGCAGTTCCATCTCCCAGTGTTTTCATCGGAGGGCCTGCAAGCCCATTTTTCTCATCTCTCGGGTCCTGCTTTTGTTACAATAGTTAGGCTGATAAGCAGTGTCCTTTTTCCTTTCTTAATATTCCTCCTTGTTCCGTTTTGAAAATGGCATCACCAACCATAACAAAAACAGCAAATTTCTGCTACCCCTTCCGCACATACCAGGCCTTGTTCTAAGCACCCCTCAGTTAATCTTGCCTCTGTGCTGGGAGCTTGGTGTTGCCATTATGCCTCTTGGATGGCAGAGAAAATTGAGGCTTTGTGACGTTAAGTGACTTGCCCAGAGTCACGCATCAAAGTGTTAATTTCCTTGTTTTCTCAGCTCTAGAGTGGGTCGTTCGTTAATTTCATGGGTCTTCACCAGGGTCACCCTACCTCTATGTAAGATCCCCTTCCTCTCTGAGTCCTTACATTTCTGCATAATACTCCTAAGTTCTCTTGAAAGAGGGCACTGCAGAGTGTGGTATCTGAGGGGTGCCCGGGAGCCTTTCTGGACGAATGGAGGCCTCACCTTGTACCTTGCACCTGCCAGGGAATAGCTGCCAGTGGATCTGAATCCAGATTCACTGGAGCAGATATGGCCAGTTGCCACTTCACCCAGTGAACTTCTGCTGAGTTCGTTTGACTGAGGTGTTGCTCAGAAAGCATCATGGCCTTTGTTTGTGTTCAGATCTGTAACCAGGCAACCATATGCTAAGGCTTATTATCGACATAAAAGATTGTCCTCTGGTGTGGAAGATTGTCCTCTGGGTCATGATGACCCATCAGTGACAGCCAGACTAAGCAGGGGATCGTATGCATAGCTCTGGAGGTCTGAGAGTGCCTGGCATTTTAACACCAACCCAAGACGAGCTAGCACATAGAGGCAGAAGAAGAGAGTGTGGGGAAGCAGGTGGATGGCAGATATGGAAGGCGTTGTCAGCTGTGCGGACTCTATCACCTGGATGTGACCGTTACGCCCTAATTACCAGTCACTGTCTGCAAGTTGCGGCTTATTACTACCGCGTTCTCTGTCTGTGCCTAGGACCTCATCTGTTTAGCTCCTCTCAGACCTTATATGACAGCTGCAAATTTCAAAGCAAAAGGAAGTTATCCAGGGAGTGTGGTACAGAGATAGCCCAGGTCACCAGCGCCCAGGGAGGGCTGGTCTCTGCCCTTCACGACTGGGCAGTGCCCTTGGTCAGGTCCTGAGCCACTGGGAGAGATGTGCCCCTCTACCTTGGCATTGCGGTGTTATTCAGGACCTTTTTAGATGCCAGTGATGGAAATCCTTTAACCAGTTTAATTCTTTAAAAAGGAGCTTAATGGTTCTCCCAGCTGGAAAGTCCTGAAGTGGCAGTTCCCTTGGGGAGATAAGGCCCAGGAATTCAAGTACCATCAGCTCTCTCTTTTTCTCCTTTTCTTCATCTTTCTCTCTCTCTCTTCCCCTGTTTCCCCTTTCCTTGTGGCCCCACCTCTCCACAGGCAGGACACAGCCGTGGATGGTCCTTGGGCTCACTGATGTTAGCCTTGGGCTCACTGTGACTTACCCAGAGTCGTGTGTCTGTGACTAAATTCTGTTTATGTTCTTGTTTTCTTAGCTCTAGAGGGTGTTGTTGGTTAATTTTATGGGTCTTCACCAGGGACACCCTACTCTACCTAGGATGGTCTGATTCTGAATTACCTGCAGAATTACCTCAATCAGAGATGAAGAAAGACTTCTCTACCACACCTGCAGCTGGAAACCCCACTTGAGCTTTATTATCTAGGGGGAGCATCTCTTTATCCCTGGGCTGTTGTGGGCTGGGTACATTTCAGTGCCAATGATATCGTCATGGCTGGGTCTTGGGCTCTGAGGTGTACCCAACCCGCAACCCATGCCCATGTGTCTGACACCAGAAATGGGAGGGGTGTGAGGCATGCAGAGTCACAGTAAATACACACCTCCTTTGGGGAATTTAACGAAAGCTCAGAAAAATACACATGGACACAAACATTTCCATGAAATTTCCAAATCTCGTCTGACCCCCAAATAAAATGAGGATCTGGAAGGCAAGATGCTCCCAGAACAAGGATGGTTGCAGGTGGCAAGCCCTGGACCCCCTGAGGCACGTGGGTGGACCTCCAGGCTCTCAGTCTTCACTTGCCTTTGCTTTTTCAGGCCAATGAGATGCTGTTCTGCGGGCGGAAGCTCACCGCCCAGGAGGCCTGCAGCAGGGGGCTGGTGTCACAGGTCTTCTGGCCCACCACATTCAGCCAGGAGGTCATGCTACGGGTCAAGGAGATGGCAGCCTGCAGCGCCGTGGTGAGTTCCCGCGCCTCCCGCGTGCTTGTCCTTAGGATAGGCCCATTGTATGGATGGGGACAGCAAGGCTCAGAGGGCTTCATTGACTTGCCAGCAGTCACAGAGGAAATAAGCAAAAGACCCCTTGCAGTTTAACGAATGCCTTTTCTCAGTATTGACAGCTTCATTCTGAGGTAGACAGTCAGCATTATTACAGATTCTCTATTATCTCTGGGCAGAGCAACCTCATAGGAGAGATGGATACTCTGGGGTACAGTCACTGCTTTCAAAGTAAATCCTGAACACCTGCAAAAGCACAAAACATCTATAGCTTTCAAAGAAAAGGCGAATAAAGACAAAAAGCAAATAAGGACAAAAAGTCTTGAACTCATCCAGAGATGGCTAGAGAAAGCTCCACCTACGGGGCCGTTATTTCATTTCTTTTCCCTACCGACTGCTCAGCACATTTAAATGTCACTGTTGGAAAATGCACTGAAAAACACATAAACAAATAACACCTCCGCAGAGGCACTGGGTTTTAATTAAGTGTCGATTTTATCTCATAACACAGCAGGGGAATATCCTGTGGGAAGGTGGAGACAAAGCCACTCCTGCAGCCCCAGGGCTGGTTCCAGAGCTTAGAGAAGCATTTTGGGAGATTGAGACTTTAGGACTCTCTCTGTGCTTCAGAAACAGGGAGCTGATGGCTGCATTTTGGGGGCAAGACTTTTGCCCCTCCCTTCTTTCTCTCCCTCTGCCTGTGTTCACACCTGGCTGTCTTGGTTCTCCTGCTGGGCCTCATCCCCATATATTGGCACCTACTGTGTTTAAGCCCTGCCCCTGGCAAGCTGAACAGTGCCACTGGGGTGATGGTGATAGTGGGGAGTCTCCACCTTGTTAGCGAACACTCACATGAGCCACGGGCATTGCTGATCTCTTCACATGGATTCTCTTAAGCTTGCTAATGACTAGGGTGACCAACTTGCCCCACCTTGTCTGGGACTCTCCTGGTTTTAGGACTGAAAGTCCTGCAATCCCAGGAAACCCCATTGTATTAGTGCGTTCTCACACTGCTGATAAAGGCATACCCAAGACTGGGTAATTTATGAAGAAAAGGAGATTTAATAGACTCACAGTTCCACGTGGCTGGGGCGTCTTCACAATTGTGGTGAAAGGCACAACTTACATGGTGGCAGACAAGACAGAAGTGAGAACCAAGAGAAAGGGGAAACCCCTTATGAATCATCACATCTCTTGAAATGTGTTCACTATCAGGAGAACAGTATGGGGGAAACTGCCCCATGATTCATTCATCTCCCATAGGGTCCCTCCCACATGTGGGAATTATGGGAGCTACAATTCAAGATGAGATTTGGGTGGGGACACAGCTAAACAGTATCTGCCTTAGTCCTGAGCAAACAGGGGTGCTTGATCACCCTGGGATCAGCTTCATGGAGAGACAGGTAGACATTCTAAGCAGAGGAAGCAGCAAGAGTCAGAAATCCACGGGGAGCTTAGGCGGCAGCGTGCAGTCAGGTGGCACCGGTATGCTAGGAACCAGGCCACTGAAAAGGAGGGTGGGAGTCTGGCCTGGAAGCTGCAGGGAGGAGTTTGGCCTGTGCTGTGGCAGGGGACAGATGCTTAGGTGAAACCAGCTGTTGAAGGACACCTGAGCAGGCAGGCTCTCAGGACAAGGAATACTGCAAGGACATCTCTGCTGCCAACAGCTGTGAGTTCAGGAATGCTGGGGATGGTTCCTGAGAAAGGAACTACTCCACCAGAACGAAGCCCATGGCCTTCAGGAGATGCTGCTCTTTGGGGCCATTCCAGGGGGAAAGAGGCAGCCGAGTCTGGCAGTTCATCCCACCGCCTGCAGCCTCCAGCCCAGGCCAGGAAATGAGGCTGCAGCCCCTTCCAGCCTGCTGGAGACAGGGACCTGCTGTCTGTGTGTCTTTCTGTTTGAAGGCATTTCAGGAGAGGCTGGTGGAGGCTAGCAAAGGATGCTTGAAGGCCTCACATCTGGATGTGCCTCTGCTGGAGGACAGCAGCAGTGTGGCTCTTGGAATCAGCCAGACAAGGTTTTCTGCTCTTTCCACCTTCCAGTAGTCAGGTAGCCCTGGGCCACTTTACATCATGGAGCTTTGGGTTCTAAACCTGTAACATGGGGATAAAAAGACTACTTACTTGCAGGCTTATCATGAGAAGTAAATGAAGAAAATCAGGAAAAGTACTTCTCTTAGATTCTGTTGGTTGATGGTGATCATAGTGGCATTATTATAGTTACAATTACAAATGTTACTACAGGCCGGGCGCGGTGGCTCAAGCCTGTAATCCCAGCACTTTGGGAGGCCGAGGCGGGTGGATCACGAGGTCAAGAGATCGAGACCGTCCTGGTCAACATGATGAAACCCCGTGTCTACTAAAAAAAATACAAAAAAAAAAATTATCTGGGCATGGTGGCGCGTGCCTGTAATCCCAGCTACTCAGGAGGCAGAGGCAGGAGAATTGCCTGAACCCAGGAGGCAGAGGTTGCGGTGATCTGAGATCGCGCCATTGCACTCCAGCCTGGGTAACAAGAGCGAAACTCCGTCCAAAAAAAAAAAAAAAAAACAAAACAAAAAAACAAATGTTACTACAGTCATTATTACTCATTACTGTGATCTGTGATTAGTATTACTATTACTACTGATTTTTTACTCACTACTGTGATTATTACTATTGTTACTATGATTATTGCTCATTACGATGACTATTGCCCACTGCTATGATTATTACTATAATTACCATGATATGACTCATTTTTATGCTTATTACTCTTGTTATGGTTGTTGCTCATTGCTGTGATTATTATTACAATTGTTACTATGATTATTGCTCATTACTGTGACTATTGTTACTGTGATTATTGCTCATTACTGTGATTATTGTTTCTATTACTGTGGATAGTGCTCACTACTATGATTGTTATTACTCATTACTATCATGATGGATTACTGCCATCATCATGGTAATGAGTAATAATCATATTATGGTAGTAATCATCCTGGTAATAACACTGTAGGAACAAGACTGTATTTACATATGTCTGTATATATAATAGATACATAATGTGTATCTATTATATATATATATCATAATATATGTATATTATAATGTATATACATACATACATATATACATATGTGTTTCCATGTATATATTATTGTATATACATAATACTATAGTGATGAATAATTGTAGATCATTTATGATCATTTATCATAGCTGTTGACAGCAGCTACTACATTTATAACCATGATTACTATGATTGTGATTACTTATGACTACAGTTATTACTATGTGTGATGATTATTCATTCCTGTGATTGTTCCTCCTTACTGTAATTATTATGATGGCGATAGCTGTACTCTTACTTGTCACCACCATGATTGCTACCACTGTAACCTGAACACAGGGCGTTGCTGTTGGGGTGGATTGTATGCATACTGTGACAACCATTTTTTTCATTTCATTGCCTTAGTCTGTGTTCTCATTGGTCCTTGAGTTATGGCTAACAGATCATGAAAATGAATCACTGGGAGATTAAAGCAGTATCTCCTGCATTTTTTCATGATGCCTATAGAAAAGGACTCTGTGTTTGTGTCACCCTTGGGTAACCGGTAAGGCTCTAGTGGTCTGGGGTGATCTGGGCCTCACTGAGCCATCCCAGGGCCTCAGGGCTCCATTTCTGGACACGTCTGGGGAAACAGGGGGCTGCAAAGGCCCAGGCTGAAGGAGGTAGGCTTCATTGGCTTCGAGTATGGGAGATTGACCAGTGCCCCGTGGGCCAGGTACCTAGTTCTGGAGCAGAGTCACCAGCGCCCAGCTAACCAGGCCTGTCTCCCTCCCTCCAGGTGTTAGAGGAGTCCAAATGCCTTGTGCGGAGCTTCCTGAAATCGGTGCTGGAAGACGTGAACGAGAAGGAATGCGTCATGCTCAAGCAGCTCTGGAGCTCCTCCAAAGGCCTGGACTCCCTCTTCAGCTACCTGCAGGACAAAATTTACGAAGTCTGAGGGGTCCCGGCTCCTGGGCCCCCAACTTCCAGCTCTGCCCTGTGTTCTGGAAACCGGAGCACAGTGCCTGCCCCGGCCAGGGAGTTTGTCGAGCTGTCTCTTTATGCCTAGGGTTGTGTCCATTTCCTCGTGTCCTCTGGTTGCGCCTCATTGGTTTGATTTTGTGTCATGGGTGGAAAACGCAGCATACTTGGCCTCCCCCACATCCCTGCCCTACCTGGACAGAGAGCTCTCCAGGGCTGTATCTTCCCAGGGTTCCGCCAAGCACTGCTGTCCTTTCCCCACTTGCTGAAATGCACCATCACGGTCCAGGAAGGGGAAGACCACTTTCCCATTCTTCTGACTCAGGCTGTGTCTAGACAGTGCCTCTGACCTGGAGACTTGGCCGTCAAGCCTCTCTCTGGTTGTATTTAGATCGGGTGTCAGAGGATCACCTATCTTAGGGAATGTCCAGACCAATGAGCAAAACGATTGTGCACACCTGGCTTCAGTCTCCCTCCAGTGCAAATCTGTGTGACTATTAGGGCTTGGTCTTAAAACCCAGTTGAGTGATTTACAAACCCAGATATTGTACATTTAGAAATGTTTTGTTAAATATATATTTTTAAAACAATGTAAGTGGAAATTCTGATAATTTATGTGTATTATATGTAAAGCTAGTTTTGCAAAAACAAACTACTAGGGAAATGTTTTTTCTTTCCTTGGACTGACTTTATTTATTTATTTTTGTTTATATATTGTGATGTCTGTTGTTCACACAGATACTATTTTCATACTGCCCTGGACCAAATCCCACACGAGGTTCATGCCGTTGGGTGCATTCTAGCAATGAACCATGTAAAAATAAAGTTCAGAGAGATGAAAACAGAAGGATTTCTGTGGACAGGAGGAATAGCACTGCACCTGTGTGTGTAAAACGGCTCTCAGCTGTAATAATATAATACTAGTTCCTTAGGTTTGTCCTTAGGAGACGTCTTGGGAGAGTCTTCTCTTCCCTCTGCTGTCTTTAAGGAGATAAAGGACCCTCTCAGCCTGAATGATCCTGGAACAGACCCAGCCCCTAATTGTGTGATGTCGGGAAGGGGTGGGGATAGGCCTTACCTGGAAATAGCATATTGTCTATCTAGAGTAAGACTTTTTTCTTTGGGGCACATGACTGAAGTTGGATTCTGTAGTCTTTTGCTTCCATGTGATCAGTGATTTCTGGTATTGGCCTCCCAGGGGCTTGGGGAAGAGTTCCCACTCTGCTGAGCTGTCTGGATGTCTGAGTCTTTCCCCCCAGAAGCTGCAATGACCCATCTTTTTTTCTAGTTTTTTATACACATAAGGAGCAATGACCAGGGGAGAGACCTCCTTGCCCCAGTAACCCTGGGCTGCAAGGGCTTCCAGCAGCCGTGTTAGACCATCAGACTCAAGTCCCTGGATAAGCTACATACAGAAAAGGAAGGGTTTGGGGTTGTGGTTTTGGGTGGTGAGGAGAAAAACAGAAACCTCAAGTTGAGAGCAGACAAATGGAAGGAGTGTGTTCTGCATGAGGTTTAAACCATGGGTCAAGCAGCCAGAGAAATTTAGATTCTCAAATTCTCAGGATGGAGGGATTTTTTCCCATTTTCCCTCACAGCCCATGAGTATTCCTGGAGGCCCTCCCTCTCTTCACCTTTCCTGTTGGGTACCAGCGTTCCTTGGCCCTTCTTTGGAGAGAGAGGTGGGCACAGGTGTTGGAGGTGAAGCGGGCTCAGAAGAGAGTCCTGGTGACAGTTCTCTTAACTCTCTGTGGTCCTTCAACTTCTCCTCCCGGCGACTGGGTGCACTGGGCACGGCAGGTGCAATATATTCGTGGCCCTGAGCTCTTGAGTTTCAGAGAACAGGTTGATTGTCTACACTAGATCTAGAGACGTGGTTTTTAAGCAGTGACCCTCAAGTTTATCTGTACCACTGGTCCTTCTGATGACCTTGGTTCCCTCCCTGCAAAGCCTTTCTCCTTGAAGAGTTTGTGAGGGTCAGGAAGGCGGGGAAACCTCTCCTTCAGCCAGAGGAGGATTGAAGTCCTTTGCATCCTCTTTTTTTGTCGATGTAGGATCCTATAAAGACTGCAGACCTACCCTACAGAGAGTTACTATAGGGAGACACGTTTTTTCCCAAATGCCTGTTGTCGCGGCTCTACCTGGATTCCCCTTGTCTCCAAGCTTTACCTTGTTTCCTTTGAGAAAGCAAATGTGAACTTGCCAAAACACTTAGTTGAACCTGGTTCTTGTATGTTGTGGCAGATAGTGTTTTCATACTGCTACATTCTTGTTCGAAAGAACCTCTTCATTTCTGTTGAGATTCTGACTGGGTGCAGTTATAGTCAACATCTGTTGAAGTAGGGTCAGGATTCTCCTTGAAAATGTAAGGGGATGTTTAGAAATTCCTTTAGATCAGTGTCTACCTTTGTTCCCTGTGAAACGTTTCAGGTTTGGATGAGTTATCAAATCCAGACTTCTAAACATTTCAAGGATCTCTGATGATTAAGGCAGGAATATGAACTCATCCCTAAGGTGGAATTCATGCTGTTAATTCCTAGCTCCTGTATAACGGGGTGGTGAAAATCTGTATTTTGGTTGTTTGCATACAGCCAGTTCCACCAGTTGGGTGAAAGTGGGTGCAATCTGTTTGCTGCAGGGTAGACTGAATTTTTCACTTTTTCAGTAGTTGTTTTGACAATGCGTAGGCAAATTCCAGGTAACTTACAGCAAATCGATCTGGGATGGAAAAGACCAGACCTCTAATTGTGTCAGGGTTTATCCTAATAGCTTTCCTGAGATAGGGCTCAGACTTTCGTTCTTGATCTTCCACCCTAGGGCCCCCTGTGTATCTAAGGGATCATTTCTCCCCTCTCTCTAGCATTTTCCTCTACCTTCTCCGGTAAGTCACTCCCAAGAGCCTGGGCGGGTCTTTCAGGAATTGCAGCTCATCTTGGCAGCCCCGTCCTGCGATTACCTTTAGGTTTGGAAGAATAGCTGTGGGTGGGCAATTGAGGGCACCTCTTTAGTCAAGGACCTGTCTAGCAGTCCGCTCCCTCCCGTCCGTTAGCCATGCAGTGGAACTCGCCTTCCCTCTCTGCCCCAACCCCAACGATGGCTCACTCCTAGCACTTCATGGGACCATCTGAGTTAACAGCCCTGTCCCAAGAGGACTTTGTGCAGAACATTTGTTAAGGTGGTCAGACCTCAGCACCATCTGGAAGACACAGCCTAATGCTGATGTACTTATAGGCCCCTTCCAGCATGGAAGTAACGTCTGTCGGTAACGGCCATCAAAGTCACTGTCTAAGAATGACATTGCATAACTGTGAGAAAGTAGTAGAGAATTGACTTAAAATATTATTCTTGTTTGGTATAGATTAAACTAGGAAATGTTCTCTCTGAAGCATGAAAATGTTTTTCCCATGTGAAGTTTAGTATAAGGATGGGAAAATAATCATCACAATAGACTTTGAACAATGCAACTGTATCTCTGAATATCCACATTTAAAAATAGCCTTCACTGAATGCTGAATTGCATTTCCCATTATTGTTGGTTTAAAAAATTTTGTAAACTTTGTTTTTAATTTCGAATTTAGTCACGTCCATGAAATTTTCCAATCTAGTTTCTGTGGAAATTTTTTTAACAGAGAGAAACAAATAGAAACATCTTCAAATCCTCCTAAGTGAATATTTAAATTGCAGAGTTGCTTATCTTCTGTTTCTCTGTATTCAGACACTTAGATCTGTTATATATATTAGTCTAGACACTCTCACTAATATACACAGTATTTAAGAAATGAGATTTCTTAAGTATTTTATTTTATTCTCTGTAAATGGTTTTGTATAATCTTTAAAAATCTACACTTTGTAGATATTTAAGGGAAACATTTGGGGTTGTCTTGCATGTATATTTTTGTTGTAGATAAGTGTTGCTTAGTTATTTCTGCAAATTTTGTTTGAAATGCTTACAGACTTTAATACAGTATATATTTTCAAAATATAAACTTTTATATTTCTGTGATAAGTTAGGATATGCGTTTTAGGCAATATTTTTCATTAATATCACTTGTTCTTTCAAAAAATAGCATTCTGGTTCGGTGCCAATTTTTTTCATTAGAATATAATGCTCTTATATTGTTGGAGCGCAGGTTAATCTTTTTTTGAAGTAATTGAGTTTGAAGTATAATTTCAAAATGTATTGAATTTGTGAATAAGCCTTACCATTAGGATGAGTAAAATTTTCAACTTTGCAACTACATAAGTAGTTTAAGATCTCCCCATAAATTCTCACTGTGTGGCAGTTGATGGAGTTTGTGAACAGAGCCTTAAGCTTGTTGAAAAAAAAAAAAATGGTAATACGGGTTGTTTGCTCCATGCAGTGTAAGCCATGTGGACAGACTGAATGCAGTCTGTAATTCATGGCTAATCTGAAGAGTTTGATTGAGATGATGGCGGCAGGGACCAGATCGGCACCTTGGTGATTGTCTTTGGCCGTAAGAATGGACCAAGGACAGGTTTTCCAGAGCCACCTTCATACTGTAAACATGGTTTAGACACGGTCATAGGGAAGGCTGCTGGTCCATCATTTGTTCCGAACAAATGACATTTCCTGCTCCTGACCCTGGCAGTTGACCCCAGATTCCTTGTAGATGACTTGGAAATGTCCATTCTGGGTAAGGTCAGCACTCCTTGAGAGATGTTAACAAAGTTTACCTATGAGTCTTACTGTGTAGACAATCTGAAGTTGATTTTAGTTACACAATCAGCATTCCCATGTGTCCTGAGTGTCTTATCAATGAACTATGTGTACCAAGCCATACTAAACTGGAGTTTAGCAGGACAAAGGCAAACGAGATGCAGAACATAACGTATCAGCTGAATCTGTCTACCCAGGGCTGTTTCTGTAGAACATAAATCATGGAGCTCCTTGGCAGTGTGTCTCCTGTATTTGGGGTTTAATAAAACCAACTAGAATTTAGACTTAAAAAGAAATTATGTTTCCTTTTGTTGCCCACACTTCAGTAGTTCAGGGCGATCCTATGGCTAAAATGAAGTTACTTGATTTATCTCTGGTACATGTTTATAGTCAGCCTATCAGCCATTAAGATGGAGATTTGCTTTAAATTTTTGCAGCGTGTGTGGCAGTCAGAAAAACCTATATCTAGTTATCAGCTTCGGTTCGGGCATTTTTATGGCTTAAGCTTATCTCATTGATCCAACATCTAGCCTGATGCTGGAACTCTTAAAGTTGACTCTTAGAGGTTTGGAGAGTATAGAGTTTCCCATCTAGTGTTTAATTTGTCCCTGTGCCATTAGTCTCAGCTTGAAGTCATTTGCCAATGTCGATGTTGACAGGATTGTGACAATATTGCCTTTCATAAAACCGAGGACCAAAGAATTCCATTATTGTAACAAACCCTGAGTTTCATAGATTGTGGGCACATCTAGACAGGTATGTGTATGCTTGATGGTGCAGAGAAACTGCTCACTTCACCAACCTCATGCTCCCCCTGGCTGGCCATACAGAGGAATTCGTTGTCATACTGAGAAGGCTCTGAAAGATGAGTTTCTGATTGAAGCTCACTATCTCAGGTTGGTGTTTCTGCTGTGTAGTCCCAAGCCTGTATCCATATCATAAAAGTGGAGGTCTGGCATTCCTCCAGGTTATCTGGCCAGTGTAGACTGTTCCATTTAAATATGAACCTTCAGGGTAAGAATTTTTCAGACGCGTCTATACTGAACAGTAGTATCCTGTGCTTGCCAAATGTCTGCCTCCTTTCATTCTTCATTGACCCATTCTAATTCCTATTAGGTATGGGAAGAATTGTCTTCAGTTCGCTTTCCATTCTCATTCATGATGAAATCATTGATCCGTTGACCAGGTGAGAAATGATGGATGCTGAAGATGTGGTATTCTATTGGTAAGGCTTATTACCAAACTTCTGATAATGAAGCAGGCTACCAAAAACGTATCCAGCCCACCCTAGGAGTGTTTGGATTTGATCATGGATGTAGCACACACCAAAATCCACCAAGACCTTTGCAAAATTAGGCTACTTGTTTTATTTTGCCAGATTATCATGGGAGAGTCTTTATCTAGTTCTGAATATTTGTAAGTCTGAGTACTTCATAGAATTATAAAGCAGGTACAGCTGACCCCTTCTCATCATGTTGTAAATATTTACTGAGACTGGGTGCAGTACTGAGGGATAAATAATCTTCTGATTTATCAAATGCTGACTGTCTAGAGCAAATTGTACACTCTCTTTGTGAATGGTCCTGTAACGTGTATGAACACATTTCTGGGTGCCTTAGAAGTTGTATTTTTCATGTGTGCTAATATGCAGTATTTATACATTGTGAGAAGCTGCTTTGAATAAAAAGGTTGAGACTTCATCTGCATTTGCTTGTGTTCCCCCTTTTGCAGGCTGCACATAAAGTTCACGAGTATGTACTGTGGTTTCTGAACAGAGAAGTTTTTGGGGCCTTCTAGGGGTTGAGACATCTGATATTTCTAGGTTGCACCTGAATTTGGTGCCTGTGCTCCCTAGAGACTACCCAGATCAGTTATTCAGGAGGGCAGTTACTAGGGGGATGCCAGAGGACCCCAGAACTGGGTGGGGGCACAAGAGTGATTTTTCAGGGGATTGATAAGAGAATTTACTCATTCCCTGATATGCCCGGAATGGTTCCTTATCCCAGGGCTTCCTCCTCAACTAGATATAAACCTTTGTGGAACCCGAGCTTGGGCAATTCCAGCTTCCATGCATAGCTAGCAATGATATTTGTCACTATGGACTTTCACAAAGTTCCTTCACATACATGTTCTCATTGCTTTGATCATCGCAACATGATTCTTAAAGTGTCACCCTGGTGAGGACCCCAGGTTTCTAAGGCCTGGCCTCAGAAATATTGGGAGGGCTGCAGAAAAGACTGATAGGAAGTCTTTCGGGGATTTGTGGTATTATGGAATTCTTGAAAAAGGGTAACACAAGGTCATCTATTCCTCCATCCATCCATCCTATCCATCTGTCTGTCTGTCCCTCATCCAACCGTTCATTCATCCATCCACCCACGCATCTATTAATCTACCTATCCTGTTTTGTCTGTCATCCAAACATCCATGCATCTGCCATTCTTTGATCCATCCATCCTATCTATTAATCCATATGTCCATCATTCATCCATCTATCCATCATCCTTTCATTCATCTCTCCACCATTCTTCTATCAATCCTGTCTATTCACCGGTCTGTCCATCCAACCATCTGTCCATCTGCCCTCCTCCTGTCCACCCATCTTATCCATCTGTCTTATCATCCATTCATCCATCCATCCATCATTCTTCTGTTTATCCATTGTCCCATTCATTCACTGATCCATCTATCCTATCTGTTCATCTGTCTATCATCAACCTTCTGCCTGCCATCCTTTTATCATCCATTGTCCAACCCATATCCATACGTCCATCTACCTGTTCACCCATCCATTCATCCATCTATCCTGGCTGTTTGTCCATTATCCAGCCATTCATGTGTCTTCCATCCTTCCAGCCATCCATCCATCCTACCCATTTATACATCATTCATCCATCACCCTTCTATTCCTCCGTCTACCCATTCTTCCATCTATCCTGCCTATTCACCTATCATCCAACCATCTGTCTATCTGCCATCCTTCCACCCATCCATCCATCCTATCCATCCATTAATCTTCTATTTGTCCATTTGTCCATCCATCCATCCTGTATGTTCATCTGTCCATAATCCAGCCATCCACCTATCTGTCATTCTTCCATCCATCCATCCATCCTATGTGTCCATCTGCCCATCATCCATCAATCTGTCATCCTTTTACTCATCCATCCATCCATCTGTTTGTTTATCTATTATTCCATCTATCCAGGGATTAATGGGGCCCCTGCTCTGTCTCAGGAGCTGCACAGGTACTGGGTAATCATGAGATTATTTAGCCCGTCATACAGGAGCTTGGAGTCTAGTATAATGTGAGAAAGGTGGGTAATCTGCCATGATTCTTGACATGTCTACAGTACAGTGCTGGAGAGGACATCTTACACAATCATGAACACTGTCTAGAAGATGGTGCCACATCTTTTTAGGGCAAGACAATCCCAGGCCACTTCTTTGCCATGCCTCACTACATGTGGCTCGTGGGAAACACTCATGCATCCTCCGCCCAAACTGATGCAAGGGGTGCAAGCTCCTTCCTGCACAGCAGCAGCTGCCTCACTAGCGGAGCAGGAAGTCAGCCTCAGTCTCTTGTTCATTAAATTTCTCAAGCCTGAGTCAGACACCAATCCACTATGTCTGCCAAGTTTTGGGAGGTATATATTAAGGCCCCATTCTTGAACCTGAGACGAAGGAGGAGGCCTCCTTCTTTTGCTTTATGGGTGCGTGTGTGGGTAATATTGGGCAGCCCAGTTCTCTCTAATGGAATCCTCTTAAATCCTTCTTAATAAATGTAAGATACACAAATACATCTAGAAATTATCCAGGCATTAGCAAGTGGTGATCTCAATTTGTTGGCATTCTCCATGTGAGAGAAACCCTGTAGGGCTTTGTGGGCTGTGACAAGGACAAGAGATTTCACTCCAAGTGAGATGGGAGACTCTGGAGGGTGCAGAGAGGAGTACCTGTGCTGACTTGTGCTAACAAATTTCCTCCATGAAAATAGACAAAAGCCAGTGAGGGCAGGAGCAA